AAACATCAATAAATATTTTATTAATGAGATAATACTTCTATTTATTTGAACAGTGAAACTTTTAAATGGCTAAATGTCATTTTTTTTTAATGAAAGATGACACATTTTTCAATTATTGAAAATAGTACACATGAAAACTATTAGGAGTACAATTATTTTTTGGCCTTTACTAGGAGTACAATCTAAGTGCAATAATACATAGATAAAATTTTAGAACCACTTACTTACAGAAAAACTAATTTTCCACCGCATGTCATCAAGAAACTGGTAGTACTTGCACCTCCATGGCCGGCTAATCACCAATGGGCTGACCACACTCCAAAATCCCACAATGAATCCAAGTGTCATGCTCACAAACAACCCGTTTATTTTGAATCCATCCTTATCTTTTCCATCTGTGTTGTTGATGCTAGGTATAGAATTTCCATCAACACTGCAGTTAATTGCTAGTGGACGGCCACAAAGGTTGTTACCTTCGTAGCTTGATGCATTGAAGCTTTGCAACTGAGTACCCGTAGGAATTCTCCCCACCAGTTGATTGTTGGACAAGTTTAGGTAACTGAGAAAAGTCAAGCTCGACATGCTATCCGGAATTGAACCAGACAATTTGTTTACAGAGAAATCAATTGATTGTAAATTTCTCATGTTACCAATGTCTTTTGGGATCCTTCCAGTGAAAAGATTGTGTGACAAATTTAATGACATCAACCCTTTCAGATTAGTTATTTCCCAAGGGATTTTACCCGTTAGCTTGTTAATTGAAAAATCCATGATTTCCACCAAATAAAGCGTCTTGTCATAGTTAAGCTTCTGTCCTTTTATCACAACATCTGCATCCTCCCAAAAATTTAAATCCTCCGAAAGATCTCCGGTATCGTATCCAATGGGGAAATCAAAGGCCTCGCTAAAGTCTGACTTGTCAAAATGGTTGTCCTGTGAGAGCAGACTACTTATGTTACCAAAACAACTTGGTAAGCCTCCATAGAGATTATTCTGAGCAAGGTCGAGGAATTGGAGAGAATTGAGTGAACATAACTCATTTGGGATTTGTCCCCAAAATTTGTTTGAACGAAGGTTCAAGAGTCTTAGGTTCGGAAAGCTATGACCCATCCATGGTGGAATGCTTCCATTCAATTCATTTTCATTGAGAGCAAGCATAAGTAATTCAGTGCAATTACTTAAAGAAAATGGTATTTTTCCCGAAAGATAATTTTTCTGAAGATGTAATGATTTCAGATTAGAGGAAGTTCCTATTGATCTTGGAATTCCTCCTGTGAATCTATTGTCTGCTAATACCATGATCTCTAAGTTTGGCCACTTGGTCCAACAATTTGGTAACTCTCCCGACAAAAATTTTTTGCCAAGACTGAGACGGACCATTGACATGGAGTTATTCATCTGAGGACACAAAAAGGAAAAAAGGGTACCTGAAAGACTATTATTGGAAAGGTCTAAGAAGTACACGTTAGAGGAGATATAAGGTAATGGACCAGTAAAGTTATTTGAGCTGAAATCAATCATATCAGGGGAATGGCTATGATTAAAAAAGTTTAACGTAGTAGTAAGTTGCCCTTGGATTTGATTGTGAGAGATGTTTAGATATACTAATTGAGGCAATTCCTGAAACCAACTAGGAATGGTGTCTAAAATTCTTGAGTTAGAGATATCTAAATATCGTAAATTTTTTTGAGAACGGAGCCAATGTGGAAACTCTGGACCTAAATGCCAAGAACTTAACCCTAACTTTACAATTTGAAAAGGAGGAATCCAATTGGGATTGACTTTCAAAATCATCAATTGGTTTCCACTGGCATCGAAAGTTTTTAAATTTGTAGAGTTAAGGAAGTGAATTTCAGAAATAACACCTTCCAGAGAATTATATGAGATATCAACTTCTTTCAAATTTGGTCCAAAGGACTTAGGAAGACTGCCTTCCAATTTGTTTCCAGAAAGATGCAGAACTTTCAGTGTTGGAAGCTCACTTATGGTTGTTGGAATAGGACCAGAGATTGAGTTATTTGACAAAATCAATTTTTTTAAATTTTTAAAATCCCCCAAATGATTGGGCAATCGTCCTGAGAGTTGACAGTTGGACAAGTCCAAAGACTCCAATGTGATAGAAATGCACTTCGAAAATATTTTGAAGACAGTAGATATCTCTTGACTCAAGTGAACACCAACTAAATAGATTGACTTTAAGCTACAAAGTCTTTCTATTGACCTAATCGAGTATTCTCCTTCAAAATTATTATAAGAGAGGTCAATAAATTGAAGAAGTGGAAAGCTGTTCAACCAATTAGGAATTGAAGAATTGAAAGAATTACTCGACAAACCAAGGTGCTTTAAAAAAGTCAGATTTTGAAGATCATTAGGGATCGGGCCTTCAAATGAGTTTTCAGATAGTTTAAGGACAACTAAGTTCTTAAGACTGGAAACCCAGTTGATTATTGGAGAGTTCTCGATGAAATTCCAAGAAAGATCAAGCACAACAAGAGATGATGAATTTACGGTTGTATTGTGATGGACTTCAACGTGGGGTCTTAATTCACATTGAGCTAAGTATAATTTTACCAAAGAAGGAAGTGTGTTTACCATTGGAAACAACTTGGCGGCCTTGCTAAGGTTCACCTCACTCATATCAAGGTACTGCAAGGAGGAAAGACCTGATAGCCAATGAGAATTCTCAACATGTAAGTCAAAATTTTGGTTGAGGTTGAGATATTTTAGATTGGAGAGATTCCCAAGATGAAGAGGTACCTTCCCTACAAATCCTGAGTAGGAGAGGTTAAGGAATCTTAAACTGCTCAAAGAACCAAAGAATTTGGGAATGTGAATTCCTCTGAAATTATTGTTGCTGAGGTCCAAATAATGCAAATGCTTCAAATTGAGCAGGGAAGGACTTATCTTACCTCCCAGCTTCGATCTCTCATTAGCCCCAAATTGATCAACTCGATCGCGATCAAAATCCACGGTAGGAGTTCTAAGACAGAGTTCAAGAACATGGCTGGTCACATTATCGCAGACAACTCCCTTCCATTTGCAGCAATCTTCATCATCAGCAACCCAAGAGGCGAGCCGGGCAGCAGGATCAACCATATCCTGCTTCAACTTCAGGAGGGCTTGCCTCTCCCTCTCTATGCAGCCTCCATTGCAAAAGGCCGCATTTAAAGTAGCTAGACTGAGAAATCCAATGAGGAGAGTAGTAAAAAAACCCATTGTAATTTTCGATTTTCGAAAGAATAAGACTTGTGAAATATCCATCACAGGCATGGTAGTATTTATAGTATTACACTTACCATTCCATAGCATTACTTTGCTATTTCCATAACCCACTGGATACGCCTCCCATACCATCAATTTGCACACGCGTGCTCCATCATTTTCCCTGTACTCTTTTTTACATTTTATTAGCCGGTAATACTGATCATTGAAAATAATAAAAATAATAACAACAAAGTGGAGCTGAGGGCTGTTCAAAAAAAAAAAAACAACAACGTGGAGGAGAAAGAAGGTAAAGAAATTAGTGGAATGCTTCCTGCCTAAAGTTGACTCACAATTCTCGTCAGCCAGCTTCTCTTTTCCCTTGTCTATTTCAGTCTTCTATAGTGTTGTGCTCACACGGCAATATCGGCAAAATGGTTTGATCATCCCATGTGGGCCCATTTTATTGGTAGAAAGTTTGCCTGATTAACATACCGTGAAACGATGGTTGCGTGAGAAATATTGCAGCAGCCGATCCCTTTGACAAAATGAGAGTTTACTTGATGCATATATCCATAAAATATGGAGGTGAGAAACACATGAATGTGGTTATGTCCTCCGGGTAAATTATTAACGCGATTAAATTTGTATATAATTTGATTAATATTTGTAATTTTTAAAATAAATTATTGTAATATTTAAAAGTATTAATTTATAAATTTATTTTAATTTACTCAAGTTTAATTTGAGAGGGTTGGTATGTACCTATAATGGTTATTTTTTTAATATTTT